CTCGACTGAATCCTCCCCCCCCCCCAACTTCCCTGCAGGGGCTTCAGTCCCTCCCCCCCCCCCAACTTCCCTGCAGGGGCTTCAGTCCCTCCTCCCACTCCCCCATATTGGCACAACAACCCGGCCAGGTAGCTCAGTGGCTAAGACTTGCTGAGCTTGTCGATTAGAAAGGTCGGCAATTCGGCGGTTCGAATCCCAAATATAGGTCTCCTCCTGCGTGAGCAAGGGGGTTGGACTAGATGACCTCCAAAGTCCCTTCCAACTCTGTAACGGTTAACCTACGTAGCCTGAGAGATTCGAATACGAACGCGGGGAAGGGGGGTCATGACGGCCGGGGGGGGCAATCCAACCCCCCCTCTCCTCAAAAGCCCCCCCGCCCTGCCTTTTTCCCGGGGGAGGGGTGTCTTTCCGCTCCTCCCGGCTTCTCACCTGGCCCTGCCGGGGGCAGCGGAGCCGTCTGCCCGCCGCCCAGCCAACAGCAGAGGAGTCCGAGCCCGCCCCAGCCGATCCCGGGGGGCAGCAGCCGTCCCGGCATCCCTCCGCCGCCTCACGGGAGGCTCCAGGCGAGTCCTCAGCGCGACCGGGGCCTGTCTCGCCTCAGCCGGCGGGGCTCGGAAAGGCCGGCATGGGTTCTCGCGCCGGAGAATAACGGCGCCAAGCAGGCAGCAGCAGCAGCAGGCCGAGGAGGGAGGCCCGGTGGAACCGCCGTTTACCTCACGAGGTACGGCCGGCAACGGCGCCTCGCCTCATCCCCCGCCGCCGCCATCTTCCGGGTTACCTGAGAGAGGGCGACGCCGGGATTGGCCGCCGGAGACGGATTGGCTGGCCGGTGGGCCAATCGGCGTGGGATCCGCTCCCCGAGGAGACGGGGGAGGGCTAGCACGACGGGGGGGCGGGAGTCCGCCCTGGAGAGACAGCCGCGTCGCAGCCAACCGGAGGCGTTGCCCCGCCTCCTCCGCGTTAAGACAGCAGCGCGTGGGGGTGAAGGGGGGGGAGGTGAAGCTGCAAGAGGCGGGGTTTGGTTCTCCAGATTGGCATGAGAAGGGAGCAATTAAATTTGCCCTCTTTTTTTCCCACTCCAAGGAGGGAGGGGACTGTATAAGAGTTCGCGGCTGAGATTTATAATTGGCAGGAGGTGCCCACCAATCGGATAAGAGGGAGGGCGGGCCTGGAACGAAAGAAGGCTTTTAAAGGCTTGGTCCTAATTCAGATCTTCCAAATGCACTCTGTGCATGCTCAGGGGCATTTGTGTGCGAGGTTTTGTTTCTACACTTTATTCTGCGTCTATTCCCTTAATAGTTACATTTTTTTTTAAAAAAAATAAAGCAACCGATAAATCAAGGGTGATTTGCAGACTGGGACACATAAAACAGAAGGAAAGGTCGTGGGAAGGAGAAAGGAAAATAAGGCAAACACCCGCTCTTATCATTAAACTCTTTCTCCTTATCATAATAGGTACCTGCAAGAGCTTGGAGTTAAGGGCAAGGGGTTGCCAATCACAGGCGCTGCCCAAATTTCTATCTCGGGGCAACCTGACTAATAACAAATAGAAAAATAAAATAAAATAAATAAATAAAGTAATGTAATGTAATGTAATGTAATGTAATGTAATGTAATGTAATG